ATAGTTTGGGGAGCATTTTAATCAATACTGGATGTGAAGGGGTATGAAAAATCTGTAATGATTTTCACATTAAAATTCTCCCCATATGAGAGAGGGATTGTCATATGGGTATTAGGAAAAAAAAAATCCCAAGCTACCTGTTGTAATTTCTGTTTGAAGTTCTTGTAACCATTTGTTACAGATATAAAAGGTATTACCTTGTTGTGCTTCCCTTAATAAAGTGTAGGTTTTGGAAATAAACCCCCTGGGCTACTGACCTTTTTATATTCTTAGAAAATAAAATTCCTCTGTTGCAGAGAGAGAACTGTGCAACCAAGCAGCTGCTTTTTGAATTGCTAACAATTGAGCTATGGAATAATACAGAAGAGAAGAGTGAGTCTTGGTTCACTACCCCCTTTTGCAATTGTAGATTTTTGTATTTAACTCTGTGGCCATGATTATTTGAGAAGAATGGGGCACAAACGCTTGAGCAACCAGATCAGAACTCTGATGAAGAATAAGAAATTTTGAAATGTAAAAATAAGACATCATGCTAATATATATATATATATGTGTGTGTGTGTGTGTGTGTGTATATATATATATGGGTACCATGGAATAGACTCCTAAATTCATAGCCTGACTTATAAGATTACTTCTTTTCATTTTACTGAACTCCATAGGACCTCAGCAATTCTGAAAATGAGAGCATTCATTTAAGCTCCTATATTTAGTCCTTAGAGCCTGTATTTAAGCATTCATGCTTGAAAATCTTGGTCAGAATCTCTTTTCTTCACTTTTGAGGAAAGCAATTTAGGAAAATAATTGTGTGCTCTTTACATATGGTTTACTTTGTCAGATAGTGTTCTGATCTTAACATAAGTGGAAATAATTTAATATATGAGGATTTGCAGTTTTCTAAATAGAGTGCTTAAAACCTTGAGTTTCCACTCCATGGGAAATACTCATTTTTGGAAATGGCATTCTTCCACATTAAGACATTAGCGCATCAACATTTTCCATGTAGCAGAAACTGTGAAAAGTTGTAGTTGTCAAAAATTCACGTTTAAAATCTTTGAGGTAAACGAGATTAAGTGATTCTGGACCTTGAGATAAATTCTCGGTCTCAATACCTGCTTCTATAGTGAGGAATCTGGAAGACCTGGGCCTCAGAGGTCAAGGGCTATCTGTTCTGAAACCCAGGACACAAGAAATCTTGACTTCCAAGCATACAAATATACACAAATATTGGTAATTTTCCAAAACCTAGTAATTTTATAAGAGAAGTTTATCAAAATTGTCATATATTGACCTATTCCATAGTTGCTTATACTGTTACCATTTATGATAGAGTCCTTTCTAGCAGTACAAGATATTACCAACTTCTACCATGGGTGGCTCTTTAATTCTTTTGACGTGCACAGTGGAAAATGAGATATATGGGATAATCTATACATTAAAATAAACACAACACACAGCTGTACTTTGAATTGGTTAGAGAAGCTGAACTCAAAGGAAGTCAACCTCACATTTGGAATGAGAGGAGATTTGTGTTGATCGTCACTTTCTCTGAGACTTGTTTCCAAGTTACCTTCAACCCAAGATGTCCTGCGCTGAAATCCTAATGCTTAGGAAGTTGGAAAGAACCTGTCGGTTCATCTCATTAACTCCCTGCTATTGCAGGAAACCACAGCAATGAAATCATTTTCATAACTTGATCTGCCTTCACAACAGAAAGAAGTTGGATTTTTCTTTAACCAGAGCATTGTATTTTTCCAGTTTCATGCCACTCAACTTCCGCTAGCAAACTTCAGTGTCTTCAGCTGCTCATTAAACTGCTTCATAGGCCATGCTACCCTTCCTTGTTACCCAAGTGAGGGACTCTCAGGCCTCCCTCTGGAAGTCTCAGGTATCTCCCAAACTTTTTAAAAGGTAGCTGCTAAATGCCTGTGAAGGTTAACTCTCTACATGGCTATCCATTAACTTATCATAGAAGCAATACAGTTCAATTCCAGTTTTATAAACCTCATATCCCAAAATGTCTCTGTCCTGGAAAAAAAAACCAATCTGAATAATAGAATAGCTTTCACTGAAATGAAATAGTACAGCAAAACATCTGAGTCTAACAAAATGTGGCTTTCAGTGGAATCCTTCACAGTATCCTGATTGTCACTCCAAATTCTTACAGCCGGTGATTCAATCATGTTGGCAAATAATGATGACATCCCTTTCTCATATCTCTTGAAAAAGACTACTCGTCTTACAGAATCTCTTCTGTATCTTTTACAATGGATGCTCGTTGATCTTTAAGCTTCTGAACTTGTTTCATAAACACGTTGAAGCAATCTGTATCTTTTAGACACCAGAAGAGGTAAAAGATGTCATCTGTTTGTTATGCTAGTACTGTTACCTTCAAAAGGTCTTCCAGGTTTGAGTCTGTACTCTGTTAGGTTCTAGCACCATGCTAATCCTCTCATTTCACGTAACTAACATCACTTCTGGAGTAAAATTTTCTATGACTGATGCACATTTAGTTGTAGATGTCAGTGGGTCAGTATTCTGTTTTGGGGATATATTTTTGTAAGTGATAATCTTCTGCTTTGCCTCTGACACATACTTTCCTTCCAGCTGAATCTTTACCATGAGGCTAACAACTTGAAAGAGATTTCTGTGTAGGAGTACAACTACTCCCTTTTTCTTTCCCCAGTAGGAGCTGAACTAAAGAAAATATCACTCACTTGTTCCCATTTAAGTTTCTTACACTCTGGGTCATTCAGATAAGTGTAAACTGCTACTGAACATCTGAGTGTCTTTGTATCAGATTTTTGTTTTCAACTAGTGTGTTTCATCTTCAAATATTTTATATCAATCCAATTTAACTAAACGATGGTTTGAAAGAAGATGTAGCTTTCTTGTTTTTAACTGATTTTTACTCTTCTTATTCTACTTTGCAATATGTAGATAAACAGCCCTGAAAAGAAGGAAAAGAAAGTACTAAACAACACCAGCTGGGAAATAGTCCTACCAGATACCAGACTCAGCCCCTGCTAAGCAGAGGGACCTATGTGGAATGTGTATGTTGACATTCAACACCTATTTGCCTTGAGATATTGCGTTGCCTGTAGCCAAAGCCACTGGTGATGTACTTTGTTTCTCTTGGCCTTTTCTCTGCTAATGAAATGTATTTCCTGATCACTGCTATTTCCTGATTTTTTCTTGGCAAGGTGCCTGGTTACTGCGGAATCTGCATGAGCCAGGATGTCCTCTTCTTCTCTCCTGCTGGGCTGGTGAAGCAGATATAATTGCTGTGAACCCTTTAGCTTAGTAATGGGACACTCAGCAGCTGGCAGCCTATGCCTTTCCCTCTCCCCTCCTCACTCCAGGGCACACTGGAGATTGAAAGACCTTTGTCTTTTTGGAAAGCATGTTGTGGCTTAGTGTTTTGGATATTGTTAAATGCAGATTAGCTGTGGGTTTATTCCACCATCACAATTATCTCAGATATAAGGCTTCTAACCAGCCCTTTTCTGCTTTTCCTGTAAGCACAAAATTTGATCCACTGTGCCCTCGAAGCCAATACAACAGTTTCACTGACATCCCTGGGTACTGGATTGAATACCACCCATACATGGCTTCTTGCAACAATCTCCTGTTTCTGCTGAGAGGTGTGCTATGATATGATACTATGAGCTATTATATATGCATTTTTGCATTTTCTTGTGGGCTTTGTTCAATGAGAAGCAGTATTACTCATCAAACCAAGAAGAGTAGCATTAAAGAGAAAGGTACATATTATTCATTAATGCAGGAAATGGAGAAAGAAATAACCTTCATTTGTTGGGTTAAACCCAAAAGCATAATGGAAGTACATTGGCTTGAACTAACATACATTTCCTCACTTCTCATTCACACAGCAGAAAGTAGTAGCATCAGTTATCTTCCACTTTAAACAGCACTTGAAACTAAATGCTCCTCTTTTGAGATGAAAAATATCCATGAACATCTACATCCATTTACCTTTATAAATTTCGCAGAAATGAAACTCTGCTATTCAATCCAGGGACTGAAGAAATTTTGACCCAATGCTAAAGTCTAAATGAACCCTTTGTCTTCTCAGTGGCTTTTGCAAACTCTGTCCTTCTCTGCTGACAGGGAAAGTTGCTAAGCTAGGGATAAACATGGAAGACTATGAATCCTAAATAGCTTCCACCAACGGTTTTTCATACTCCTACCACAGAAGTTGAGTAAAGATCAGACTTTGTTGCTTATTGTCCCTCAAATAGAGAAGCAAGGTTAAGGGTTTTAAGCATGGTATTTGTAATGTCCAAGTTCACATTACTGTAGAAAAAAATCCATATACTTGCCATTCTTGCTGATACTGGCTTAACTGATCTTGTTTTGAAGCTTTTCATTTAGCCTAAGTCCTATAACTACAGAGGTGAACCCAAATGTGGTGTTTTGAAGTAAAATATTTTCTTTCTTCCTGCTTTTCTTCAACCCTCCCTCTGTCTTAGGAGCAAGGATGTGGGGAGATTTACAATCTCCATTCTGTTCACTGTGCCAGTAGCTAGAAGGTACTCACTTGAAATATCTAATTTTGGATTCCCATAAGACAGCTGTTGATACCCCAAGTTTACTTTGTGGAAAAGATGCATGTAAACTCAATAGTCCTGGAATTTCACCTCATTTAGATTATTCTTTTTTATCCTTCCATTCCACCCCCACTTATCCATAGACAACTGTTCTTACCACAAAGATAAATTACCAGGTTGGCCTAGAAAATGAAAGCAATCATTTTAATAGCTCAAGTCCCCAAAGAGAGATTAACTTGGCCTTCTTTTAAGGAGCCGGTTGAAGGGACTAGATTCTTAGCTGTTATAAATCATCACATTCCGCTAAAGTCAAAGGAACTGTATTTCTTTACAACCACCCAGAAACTGATACAGTATTCCTATGTTGTCCTTTTACAATAGGAATTAGAAATCTTTGAACTAATGCATTTCTCTCTCTTCTTCTATCAGGCGAAACCCACTCCACTTCCACCTTATCGCAGATGCAATTGCCAAACAGATCCTGGCAACTCTGTTCCAGACATGGATGGTCCCTGCTGTGCGCATAGACTTCTATGATGCAGATGAGCTCAAGGTAAAGAGACAAACACAGATGTTACTGATACACTTTTGGTTTCATGTCATCCCTTTTTTATTCATCTCTTTGGATTGGTGACTTATGTGTGGGAGAATGCCAAGAGGGATTCACCCATGGACTCCACACACAATTCAATGTGAATTCTACTGGAGACCTTTATTATTGGTCACATGATCACTTATATACTCTTAAGCTGCTAACACACACACACATACACATAAACAACTCTTAATTTGCTATAAGCTACTGTTCACATGCCTGGTTACAATACTTAGTTGGATAAATCCACGTGTTCATGAGGCATTCTTTTTACTTCTGACTACTTATATGAGAAATTTCTTATCTTGTTTGTTGCATTCTTTCTCACGAATCTATTCTGTTCTAATTTTTCACTCAAAGTCAGGACTTAATTGCTCAAGGCCGAAGCCGCTTGCAGCTTCAGCTCTTAAAGCGCCAACAGGAGAACAGCTGACTAAAATATTCTCCCTATCTAAAACTAATTCTAACCCACATGATTGTAACCCTAGTTACACATAACTAGAAGATACTAAATGGCTAAAATCAGTGTAGTTTCTCCACTAATGGAATATGTTGTTTAGCAACTTAGAATTTGATATGCTATCAAGAGGATTCTGGTTGTCCAGGTTGAATTTCATCTGATCACATTATGTTTTGCTAAGGATGATTCTTTCTAGTAGCAATGATGGAATCTTAAGTATCTTATTCAATAAACCCAAGCCTGTTACTGGAAAAAACTCAACTTCCCTGCATTCCTTAAGCATGGGTGTATGACACCATAAGTACACACACTCTGATGAGGTATCAATATTACATTTTAAAATAGCTACCTTTTTTATCTGGATGCCTTTTCAAAAGGAGTGAATATGAAGAAAGGTGAGTTCCAAGGGGAAAAAAAAAATCACTTACGCAAAGCATAAAATAATTACCTTTTCATAGTTTGAAAGTTTAAATTAGATGATGGAAGCACAGCATTGAGTTTGAGCTGCACATTTTTTAGGTGTGGATGTAGAATGAAGTATTCAGATTTTAGCATTTGGAGTTGGTGGCAATAATTTGTATGACTTATCAGACTGTTCTGAACAGCACCCTGAAACAAGGAAAAAACAAAATTTAGCAAATTGCTGTGCTAATTGAGGAGTTAATTCAAAACTCACTATGTTGTAGAATCTTGAGTAAAAGAAGTTGTAGAAAGAGATGAAAAAGTGAAAAAATGATCCTTGAAAAAATATTTTGTTTCTAGCTGTTTTTATTCTTTTATTGGCCCTTCTACATGAAGCCATAAGCTGATATTAACCTAATTAGCTGGAGATCTCCCTTCTGTTCTTTATAGCTTCATAACAAGGGGGAGGTTTATTCTTGTAAATCTTGTATGTATCTATATTACATGTGCTTTTCTGGAAATTGTAGGGTTCTACAGTGCTTAATTAGCCTCTCAGCTGGGCAAGACAGACCTCTTAGTGTTGTCCTTCTGCTCACTGGGGTATGGTCCAATCTAGTAAAGTAAATAATAACCAAGGGAGCTTACTTAAGTGATCCCCAGTTTGCTGATTTATAGGCAGAACTCTGTACAGATATGGGGTTACAGAGCAAAGTCTTGTTTTATCCCTCCATCTTCACTCAATTTTAATTTTTTATGTGGCTGGTGACCTAAAGCAACACTGGACTGTCTTGCATGTAACACATACGCTTTAGGTTGGTGACCACTTTCTTACTGGACGCAGGTGTTGACGCATGAATACATCTTTCCAAGTCTGACACTCCTGCTCAGAGCTCATCATTCTGCTTACCACGCAATTTCTCTGATTTCAGTAGGCAAAAAACCACAGTATAAAGTAGTACTCAGCATAAGTGGATGTGATGGACACTGCCAAAGGACAGCAAAGAGTTGCAAATATAAATGGAGTTTTAAAAAGCCAAGTATGATGCTGGCTCATATCCAGATCATCCTGCAAGTTTTAGGAAAGAAGACAGGGGAGCTGTTTACAGACAGCTGTAAGAGCTCATCTCATTTGTTTCCTACATAGCCTCTAGAGAGGATTTAATGATTGTTGTGGGTTCATGTATTTCACTTGTACTCTTGGGAGCTATATTATGCTGTCCAGTGTTAGGAAAACATAGAGCTGATGCTGGAATGTTTACTAGGAAGTCCACCTTTCTCTAAAGTGATCTATGAATCCACTGTTACAGTATGTACTCTGTTTCAGTTTTAATGACCATCCATAGTTCTTTTTTAAACCTGTAATCGATACCAGTTGCTGACATTTAAAAGGGTTTAGACTGAACAATAGCTTGAGAATTTTCTGCTTAGCTTTCATTCACCAATGTTTCATTGTTTTGGAACGCAATTTAGCTGCTACAGAAAACATTTCATTTCATGTTTGTTTTTTTCCTTTTAGATAAGTATGAGCTTCCAGTCTCTTACTTCTAATGCAGCAGGAGCTGGCATGTTAGCTTAAGCCCTTAGGTCCTGGGAAAAGTCCTGTTCCTCCTCCTGTTTCTGCTCAGACAGTGGAAGGGAGCACGTTAGATACTCCATAAATAGTATGGATGCTTTTTTGTTTTCAAGTAGCTATTTAGAATTAAGGCAACACTTCAATAAGTATTAATTTTTTAAAAGGCAAAATTTGGAGACTAAAATATGTGGCAATGTTTCGTAACATATCCTGCAGTTCTTAAAATGCATGCTCTTCAGCTTAGAATTAGAGCAACTAGTGTTCTGAAGGAAGGTGTAGAAAATAAGGTTCTGTAGTAGGTGTTGTTTTCTCTCAGGTTTTAGAGCAGGAAAAGGAAGAAAAGGTACCACTGATTATCCCAGAATTTCTAGGGCCAGCAAACCAACTTACCTACTTTGCCACTATGAATTAAGCGTATTAGATCTTCTTTTTAAAATTTAGAAAAGACTTACTTTTCCTTTTGCAAGGTGACACAGCTGTTCATGTTCATCCTGCACTAAAAAGAGCTTATGTTCATTCTCTCCCTAGAGGTGAGTGCTGCCAAATTAACACTAGCCTGCTTGGAAGAGGAGTAGAGAGCAGGAAAGGATGGCCAGGAAGAGGTCTATCTTTGCTTGAGGCACATGATAGAGGATGGGGCAGAAGAGAAGGTGACTTGGCTGTGGAGCTGAGCCAGGATAGCAGCATTTCCGGGAAAAGGGTCAGATGCTGTTGAGATGAGAGCTTGCAGGATATGTTTCTTTTAAACAGCTAGTTTGATGATTGTAACAGCCAGTTCTACTAAGATGCTTGTAAGCTCCCCCAGCATAACTTGGCCTGTCTCTTCATTGCCTTGCCAATAACCACAAGGGAGATCTGTACTTAAAAGCTCTCCCTCAATTTAGAAGCTGTTCAGGTTGTGAACTGTACTGCCAGTGCAACTCTCTCCCATTAACTAAACTTGCTACATGCAGTTAGTGATCAGCAGTAAGCATCCTTGAAGTGTGGGCAGCTGATATTGTTGCCAGTAATTGAGCCATTCCATAGCTGCAGACTTCTACTCACTGTTCAGTATGGCCCACACATAACTCTTCCAAATTTATGTGGTCACATATGGCGATGACTACAAACTGGAAAGTTACTTGGCAATGTAGGTTCACTTTATATTATCACATTAGCCATGTCATGCAGCTTTGGTCCTAATGCAGTAGCTGCAGCTATTACAGAAATGCATCCCACAAAATAACTGGAAACTGAAAATTGTCTTCTTTGAACATTAGATAAAAGAAAAAAGCATACCTGTGAAACATTGATCTAAAAGACCTTTTATAGCTGTGGCTTCCAAATACCAGGCTGCAGGACATTGGTGGATTTTTTCAGTTCAGTCTTAAGTGAAGAAACTCCAGAACTAACTATTGAAGATGTGCAACACAAGAACTTAGCTTCTACACTTCATTATTCAACATGGAATCTCATGTCCATTCGCTTACAAGGAAGTATAGCATTCTGGCCCAGAGCCGAAGGAGCAGCTCATAAAGCAGTACTGTGTGTGTGAAATACAGATCAGGTGAGTTTGTTCTCCCAGATGTTGCCTGACATTCTGCTGACAACATCAGGTGAACTGAGGGAAGCAGAAGGTAGAATGAGCAGTTGTCTGCTCTGCTGTGTGTGCATCTTGACGGCCCAGATAAACATAAAGTCATCATCAGCAGTAAAGCGGAAAAGCCATGTCCTTTAAATAGTTCAGTCCACAAATGTGCTGCAATTGTTCTGTGAACTTGAAGGTAGGGTTGGTGAATAGGTTTTTGCAATAGATGAGCATTTGACCTGAAAGTAAAGTGTGAAAAGCTCCATATTTGCTGCATATATGGACAATATTCCAGCTTTTACTGTTCCCAGAAACAACAGACCACAAATCTCACTGACAGTGATGCCTTTCGCATCAGAAATGTTGATACAATCTTCACATTCAGTCAAAATCAGTGGTGTGATCCAGAGAGCAAAACCAAGCTGGGGTAATGTGTGGCATAAATGTCACCTAACTTTAGGCATTTACTTAAGCATGAGATGAGTCACTCCTTAGCCACTTTCATCTGAACTGTGAAGGCAGTTCACTAGGTCAGATGTTGCCATCATTTGGTCAGGTAGATGGGCAAGGGCTATGAAATTGAAGCAGGAAAATCAAGTTTAATTCTTTAATTAGAGTTGTAGTCTCGGGCTGTGCCTGTGTGTACTCCCAATGCACTTAAGTTACTAATTCCCAGGGTGGTCCAGGAGCTCCTAGGCTAGTCATCTGCATAGATGAGATAAACGGTTTGAGACAGCAGATCAAGTTGAAACTAGGTGATTGAATTGCTGGCCATCTGCACAAGAAGTATTTGACAGATTGTTACAGGAGCTTTCCCAGTGGGAATTTCAGACAGTTCTTGAGATATCCCAGGCAGTCTCTGCTGTGCCTAAACCGATTTGTATGCTTAAATGTGTTGATTAACGTCCTGGATGGAGAATCTGGTTGTCCTAGAAATTCCCAGAGAGTTCTTGCTG